AAAATTAAAATATAAATAGAGTTTGGCCACTTTTACGAATGAAAACAAACATTTTCAGTTCTATAAATGATTTGGTTCACTTTCAGGCCTTAAGCATAAGCCAGGTGTTTGTATTTCTAACTGTGAGGGGGTTTTGTTTTTGCTGTTTTATGACCATTATGTGTGTGGTAGCCTGAAGGAGAAGCTGGGATTTTGCTTGTTTGCCTGTTTTTTCCTGATCAGTAAATAAGAATGCTGAATTTTGGGGATGTATTTTTAACAGTGACATTTTCAAGCAGTTCATATAAGAGACAGTATACTGTAGTGCTTCATATCTTGGTCGTCTGAGGCAGATGGCCGGGTTTCAAATCCCAGGTCCACCAGTTACTAGCTATTGACCTTAGGCATTTCATTTAACCTTTCCATTATATAGTTTCATCTATAAAAAGACCATAATAGTATCCACCTCATAAGATTATTATGAGGATTAAGTGAATTTAATATTCTAAAGAACTTAAAACAGTTCCTGATATATGGTAAATACTACCTGTTAGCTTTATTGTTACTATTCCTAAAATTAGATTTCACCTAGGTATAGCAAATATCCTTCAAGCACTGCAGACAGACAGATGACAAGTAAATCATACATAAGAAGAAATACAAGCCAGTAGGTACACATAATTTCAACAGAGCACTTTGTTGATTTTTCCAGAAACCTCGACCTTGAAGATGGTGAGTAGCCAGCCAAAGTACGATCTAATACGGGAGGTAGGCCGAGGTAGTTACGGTGTTGTGTATGAAGCAGTCATCAGAAAGACCTCTGCACGGGTGGCAGTGAAGAAAATTCGATGTCACGCACCTGAAAATGTTGAACTAGCCCTTCGTGAGTTCTGGGCACTAAGCAGTATCAAGAGCCAACATCCAAATGTGATTCACTTGGAGGAATGCATCCTACAAAAGGATGGGATGGTGCAAAAGATGTCCCACGGCTCTAATTCTTCCCTTTATTTACAGGTATGTGTTGTTGATTGGGAAATAGAAATGATTTGAACATGGCATTGGTCAGCAAGAAGAGGAATGAAAGGGTCAGAAGAACTTTTCCCTTTAAATGCAGGTGTTTTGTAGTTAGAAATAGATAAGTGTCTGCCAAGAATTGAGTAGATGTTTGCTTAAAACAAGGTTTTATTTAAACCTGTGATGCACATACCTAAAAATAACATAAGCCACCTGTTATGCAATGGTACTTGCCAGTCTGCATAGGAATGGGGCAAGATAGGAGCTAGAGAAGTGCTTGAGACTACAGTCTAATAACTTCATTTCTTTGAAGTCAATAATTTTGGACTTGAGGACAGAAGAAAAGGAAAAATTCCACAACCAGTAGCAACACCCCTAGGTAATTGGGCATCTCTTTTATAAATCACTGGTTTGAATGTAAGCCTCTGCTGTTTTAGAGGGATATTTGGTTTCTTCACCATGCAATTCCGGTTAATTTTCGTGAAGTACATGGTTTAACACCTGAATGTTATTAACAGTGCTCACAGCTAACATTTGAATTTGCCCTCAGTTCCATGTTCTGTGCTGAGTGCTTTAAAAGCAACTGCTCAAAATAATCCAATGAGGACAGGACGTGGTGGCTTATGCCTGTAATCCCAACACTTTGGGAGGCCGAGGTGGCCGGATCACGAGGTCAGGAGATCGAGACCATTGTGGCTAACACGGTGAAACCCCGTCTCTACTAAAAATACAAAAAATTAGGGCATGGTGGCAGGCTCCTGTTGTCCCAGCTTCTTGGGAGGCTGAGGCAGGAGAATGGTGTGAACCTGGGAGGCGGAGCTTGCAGTGAGCCAAGATTGCGCCACTGCACTCCAGCCTGGGCGACACAGCGAGACTCCGCCTCAAAAAAAAAAAAATCCTGTGAGGAAAGGACTATTATTATCTTCATTACAAATGAAGAAACTGAGGCTTAGTATAGATAATGAATTTATCCAAAGTCACATACATAGTAAGTGGTAGAATTGGGAGCAGGAGCTAAGACTGACAGCTAAAACTTATGCTTTCTTAACTCCCAAATTACTCTTCTGTAAACCCGAGGAAATGGAAAAGCTTTTCTGTTTTTCTTTTGTTGGCTTCTGCCAGAAATTGAAATCTCTAGTAGCTCTATACTCAAAGAATAGAAAATATATTAAGACATAGCTTCTTAAAGGCTAGGGCAGAATTTCTTAAAGCTAGTCATTCTTGGCCGGGCGTGGTGACTCACACCTGTAATCCCAGCACTTTGGGAGGCCGAGGCAGGTGGATCATGAGGTCAGCAGATCGAGACCATCCTGGCTAACACAGTGAAACCCCAT